TTTGAGACCAGCATGGCCAACATGGTGAAACCCCATCTCTACTAAAAATACAAAAAATTAGCTGGACGGGTGGTGCACACCTGTAGTTCCAGTTAGGAGAATTCGCTTGAACCTGGGAGGCAGAGGTTGCAGTGAGCCTAGATAGCACCATTACACTCCACCCTGGGTGACAAATGAAACTCCGTCTCAAACAACATTTTAACATGTATTGAATTCAAAATCTAGTATTTTTTTTGTGGTAATTACGAGTAAATAAATGCAAAACTTGGATGGTGTTGTCACTTTTTAAACTCTCATTTCAGTATTAGGTATATTCAAATGCTTATCAGACATTTTTAGACAACAGGATTTATCACATAGGTCCAAGATTTAAATAAAGTAGGGGCTGTATTATGTGGTCCATGTATGGAGCAGTTTTGCTTTTGTTCAATAACAGATGAATTAAGAGCCTTGCCCAGAAATGTTGGTTTGGGATGGGTGGTCTGCTTCTTAAGTACCTAATACTAGCACATTACGTGCCAGGTAGTGATTCCTATTTCAGAGATGAGAAGAGAACCCTGAGAAAAAGTAGACGTGAATAAAATTAAGACTGCAGGCTGGGTGTGGTGGCTCACGCCTGTACTCCAGCACTTGGGGAGGCAGAGGCAGGCAGATCACTTGAGATAGAGAGTTCAAGATCAGCCTGGCTAACATGGTGAAACCTGGTGTCTACTAAAAATACAACACAAAAAGCCAAGCATGTTGCCATGCATCTGTAATCCCAGCTACTGAGGCAGGACAGTCATTTGAACCCAGGAGGCGGAGGTTGCAGTGAACTGAGATGCCCTCCAGCCTGGATGACAGAGCGATAGTCCCATCTCAAAAAAAAAAAAAAAAAAGTCATTTGCTTAATAGTGGATAATTTAAGTTCCAACCCCCCCCCCAAAAAAATCGTCTTTGAAATACTGATTTGGTTCAGTTAATGTTTTCTGTTAAGATTTTTTGAAATCCAAAAGCCACATTGTTCCTTTTACATTGTTAAAATGTGATACAGATTTCAGTAATTCCCACTGATCCGGATCAAAAGTATTTGGAATGAATTTTCTCCCATTTTTGAGTATATTGAACACATGAGGGTGTATCTATATAGACAAGCATATAAAGCTGTGTTATACAATCTTAAAATTGTGAATCCTGGAATCTCTGGCAACCTTGTAAGCAGTTGTGATGAGTTTCAAGCGTGAATTGGCACAGTGTATCAGGACAGTTTTCCTTGTCTACTCTATTGACATATGTATTTTGTTTGTTTCGTGGTGTTAATCTAGAGTCACCATTCCTGAACAACTGGCCATTTTCTGAAGTGCATTTTGAACATAAGAGGCAAATATTTGCTATAGTTATCCTTCTTTCAGTGTTGTTTATTGTAACAAAGCCTTTCTTCAGGTTATTTTAACTTTTCAGGTTGCTAGCCAAGGTTCCCTTTCCTAGCATTAAATTCATCCAGGATTCACTCCTAGGACCTTCTGTTATCGGAATGCTCTCACTAAGATTAATGGCTATAAATATCATCTGTTTAATAAAGATATTTAGTATTTGTTCCCAGCCTGTTCTCAACGTGTGTGTATGTATGTATATATATACTTTCCTAATTGAGTCTTGGAGTGTTTAAATGGTATCTCTGTATCTGCCCACAAGCTTCACCTACAAGTTGACCATTTTACTTGATGCTGATCTCATGCTTGACTCAGGCCAACAATCTTAGCATCATCTTTTCTTCCCACCTTGAGTCAATCAGCAAAATTCATTATTGAATTTTACAGTTTTAAAATATATATATATTTATTGATCAACAATTTGCTGTACATAGTGGTGCATACATGCAACCCCAGATACTTAGGAGGCTGAGGCAGGAGGATCCCTTGAGCCCAGGAGTTCTAGGCTATAGTGCCTTATGACTGTGACTAGCCACTGCAGTCCAGCAACATAGTGAGATCCCCATTTTTTTTTTTAAAAGGGGAAGGGGTTGGTGGACCTGTTAAACAGCTTTAATCAAAACTTAAAAAAAAAAAAACTATTAGAGCAGTTAAAACTTTGTGTTGACCATCTTAACATTTTTAAAGGTACTATAATTATTCTTAATCCATATTGTGTACTCTAGTTCCCTAGTCCTGTTTCTCCATGCTGTTTTGCTAATATCTCTAATAGTCTTAGTTTGATTTTGTAAAAAAAAAAAAAAAAAAAAAAAGCACTTTTGAGATTAATAAGGTTTAATAATCCCCATTGACTCTGGCCTATAGTACTATAATTTTGTAAATGGCAAAATACCCTATGGGAGCTAAGGTGTTTTATAAGCTTAGAGCAATTCTTGTTAAATGGGACAAAGTCTCAATTCTTTTTTAACAAGACAACCCTTTATGTAGTAGCTTTTCTTTTTCAATGTTTCTTGAAATTGTAATTTTATTCCATGCTGGTACAGAATACAAACTTAGCCAAGAAAAATAGGAGCTCCATTGAAAGGGCTGTTCGACAAATTGAAATATTTAAAGCACAGTTGTAGGCTGTGTACTGTTGGGGCATACATTATTTAATTTATTCAGTTCCTCAGTTTTGTAGGGAAAGATGTTAGCATTATCTAATTTTCAAGGTATGTGTTAAATGATTCTAATTTTTTAAAAGCTTTGAAAGCTGGGTTGTTTTCGTTTGGTTGGTTGGTTGGTTGGCTTTTGGCCCCTCAATTTGTTGAGTGCCTATTTTAAAGATTTCCAGTGGATTTAACAAAATGAACAAAATTTAGAGGACTCATTTATTTCCCCCCACCAAGTCAGTGCCACAGTGGGACTCTTACATAAATTTGTCAGTGTTTAAATTCCATGTAGTGAATGAAAATACTCATCTGCAACTGGTATAAAATAGACATTAAAGTTTGTTGCCCAGGATAGAGTGCAGTGGCTATCCACCAGCATGATCATTTAGCACATGAAAACCTGAAACACCTGGGCTCAATCCTGCCTCAGCCTACTGAGTAGCTGGGACTACAGGCACACACCACCGTACCTTGCTAAATTGAGGTTTTTAACTCTTCTTCCCATTCCCTGCATCCTTCTGAGGGAGTTTATACTGAAAATTCTGCATTTTCTGTCCTTGACTTTTGCATAGGAAGGCAAAAAGATGACAGTTAAGGAAGGAAAGTGCATGTACTCACTTTGGAAATCTGTTTCCATTTCTTGATTCCGGTAGTTATAGGGAATAAGTTGTTCTAGTAGACTAAATAGAAGGTAAATGTTTTGGAGTTACACACGGATATATTGATGTTGTGGTTCATAGTTGCTGTTGGCCAGATTGTTCTTTATTGTGTCTTGTGTTTTTGTCGTTGTTGTTGTTGTTGTGTGTGTATGTGTGGCGAATGGGGTCTCCCTATGTTATCCAAGCTGGACTTGAATTCCTGGGCTCAAGCTATCCTCTTAACTTTGCTTCTCTTTATTTGGGCATCCTTTCTTCTGCTTTCTAGTATTTGGTCTTTCGTATATGAGTACATTAAGCTATTCTCTTTTTTATGTTTTTGAGACAGTGTCTCACTCTGTCCCCCAGGCCGGAGTGCAGTGGTATGATCTGCAGCCTCCGTCTCCCAGGTTCAAGCCATTTTCCTGCCTCAGTCTCCCTAGTAGCTGGGATTACAGGCATGCACCACCACGCTCAGCTAATTTTTGTGTTAGTAGAGATGGGGTTTTACCATGTTGGCCAGGCTGGTCTCGAACTCCTGACCTCAGGTGATCCATCTTCCTTGCCCTCCCAAAGTGCTGGGATAACCAGCAGGAGCCACTGTGCCCAGCTAGCTTTTTTGGTCCAATATTGGTTTTTTTTGTTTGTTTGAGGCAGGTTTTGTTTGTTTGTATCAGACAGTTCGTTTGCCCAGCCTGGAGTGCAGTAGCATGATCAAAGCTCACTGCAGCCTTGACCTCTTGGGCTCAAGTGATCCTTCCACCTCAGTCTTCTGAGTAGCTGGGACCCCAGGCATGCCACCACCATGCCTAGCTAATGTTTTTGAAGAGTCGGGGGTCCCCTGTGTTGTTCAGGCTGGTCTCAGTCACACTGGGCTCAAGGAACCCTTCTGTCTTTGCCTCCCAAAGTGTTAGGATTACAAGCATGAGCTACTGTACCTAGTGGTCTTCTGCTGTTCAAATGGAATCCTAAACCTTACTTTATCATTATTTCCATGTTTATATGAGAAAGGGGTAAAGAAGATACAGAAGTCCCTAGACTTAAGGGGTGGCCCTTATTGACTTATGCCTTAGGCTGAACTTAAGAGAAGCTATTAGTTTGAAAATATTGAAGGCAGTAAGTGTTATTGTTACGCACAAGTCATGGAACAGTGAACTACATACATGTTACAAATAAATTGTTCATATGGAATTGTGTGGACTATATGTTAAGAGCAAACCTCTTTCTACTTACAGAAGTATGCTCTTCAAGGTCAGAATTTCAAGAATAGTTAAAAATGGACGTTGAGTAAAAAAAAAAAAAAAAAGCTGAGAGAATAAGGAGATTAGAAAACAAAAGCCCCATGAGAGTTTGTTTTCAGGTGGAAAATGGAGTTAGTGGATTGGGGAGGAAGGATAGTTCAGGAAGAACAAAGGATTTAAGACAATTGAGGGCCTCCAAAAGTGGTCTTGGAAGTTCAACAAATAACATGAATATTGAGCTCTCCCTGGTCTAAGCTCTTAAACTGTGAGAATATCTACTTATAGCTATTTCAATTTGTAAGAGATCAGGTTTTTGTTTATGTAATAAATTTTTTTGTATCAATGTGTATCCATATATATTTTTATGAACTCTTGCTAAGATAATTGTCTCAGCATATGTCCAGGTATGATTTCTCTCTGCTAATGTAATATATTATTTATGTGAATTGTGATGGCTTGTTCCTTAAAAATAGTGTGAAAGTAACTGAAAGCAGTGGACTCACTTGTGTTTTCTTAAATTAAACTTAATGTGACTCACCCATTTTCTGTCTTGGTATATAGGAACTTAGTGATTTGGCCCGTGACCCTCCAGCACAATGTTCTGCAGGTCCAGTTGGGGATGATAGTAAGTAACTTTCAAGTTGATTTTTATGCTTAGTTTTTTTAAAGCTTGTGCATTTTTAGATAATAACCAAGAGATATTTTTTTTCTTTCTCTAGTGTTTCATTGGCAAGCCACAATTATGGGACCTGTAAGTATTAAGAATTTTTAAATTTAGTGTTAAGTGAAAATCCAGCATTGATTTGGTTGTAATTTTTAGCTTGGTCTGTAGGTTTATCATGTAGTTAATTCTATTTTGGATATTCTATAGTTGTACTGCATTTGAAAGAAACAATATGAGTTAGTCATCTGTTATGTGTACTTTGTGTCTCTCTCTGTGTTCATGTTCTAAAGTATAGCATCTCTGACCTACCAAACATCTGTCTACCTCAGTTCAGTTTCTCTTCGTAGCATTGTGTAAAGCATTGTCGTGGAACTTCCTGTTACTTATAGAGACAATTAAAGTTACTGGCTCTGATACTGCCATGAGTTGTATTACTCAGAGATCTTATCTTTTTGCTGTAGCTGCCAATAATCTAGCTTAATTGTATTTTGATATTTGATTCTATATAGAACTTTAGTTTTATGCAAATTTTGAATATATTTAGGGAGAAAGTGATATTTTGAATATAGCAAAATTCCTTTCTATCCTGGGTAGATAAGAAACTATATGCTGGATAATTGAATATTCAGAATTATGGATACCATCTAAGAATTTCAGAGAATTAGAGCGCACTAAAACATCCTGGGGTAAGACTGTATCTTACACAAATACTTAACTTTTTTTTTTAACTTGGTAAGGTGCTTAAGGATGTCTTTTCTAAGTTACATGTTTATTTTACTGAAAACTTTCTCCCTATTTGGTGGTTTTATAAGCAACATAAAGAGCAATAGTGTACTAGATGAGACAGTGGTTAGTAAGTATTTATAGTTCTAAAGAAAAAAAATGCTTAGAGTTAGTAGATGGGTTGAATCAACAAGTATTTATTCAGTAATTCTGATTCTAACTTTAGTCATTTTTCTGTCTCAAATGTGACTACATACTGTGTTCCAGGAAATAAGGATATGAGTGAATGTAATAGACATCCCTGTCAACCTTACAGCGAACTTACACTCTGCTGGAGTAGACAGATACTTAAAACAAGTAATAAAGTGTGATAAGATGGAAAATAAGTAATCAGTGAATGAAGTGATGGGTAGGAATAATTAATGGGAAATCCTAACAGGGATGATTAATTTAGAGTGATTGAATTTTTAGTGTCCTAAAAGTAGGGAAACTCAATCAAAGTAAGTCATGGCAGGGGGGCAAATATTAAGTTTTAATACTTCGAATATCCTGGATCATTTTAATAAACTACAAAGCAAGGATTGGGTATTTCATTATCACAATGACTATTTTTACTGTTTTAAATTTTACTTTGTTTTAAAAGTGATTCCTTTTATCTAATTTGATAGCAAAATTGTGTAATTTTAATACACAGAATTAAATGCCGAGTTACCCAATTTGCGCCACATGATGTTTTTGAAAGCTGGTAGTCTTCAAATAAAAAACCATTTTGAGTAGGCCCACATTCCACAAGCAGTAGTGACTTGGGATGGAATAACAGCTGCCTCCCTTTTTTAGATGGTATATGTGTTTACCACAATGCCTACTAGGTCAGTTCCATATTATCTACCTAATGTTTTGTAAGCAGTTGCTTTTGCAAACTTTATAATTTTCCCATTTTGGATTACCAATTTTCAAAGAATTCGATAAAATGTCTTACCAAATAAAGCTCATCTTTGATTCAGAGGGTACTTGATAGTTTCATTGTAAAAATTGTCAAAATTAAGAAAGTACAGAAGGGTGGGTAGTTAAGACTTCTAATTGGATAGTGTGCAGAATAAACCAGCTCCTTAAAACTTGTCGGGATTTCTTCTTAATAGATTAGACTTTGTTACTTTGAACAACACACTAATTTTCCAGAAAGGCAAGGAACATACCTATAGTCAATCAAAGGAAACATGAATGAGGAATATATGGTGGTAATTTTTTAGACAATGGTGTTGCTTATTCTGACAGATTTTTTTTAGCAATTTACTTAATTTGATTTTATTTTTAGAAAACATTTTCTTTTTTCATTTTTTAAATATATATTTTAGATGATGGCTATTCCTTGCTAAATTTTTTCCGCAACCTTTTAATATAATGACTGGCAGTTTTCTGCTTTTACAAACAGAAGCATGTGATTTTCAGAACAATTTAAATATTAACCTGATTAACCACAACTGCAGGGTTTTGCTTTGATAGCAGTACTTACTGAAACGTTTTCAGTTAAAAAGTTTAGTTCTCACTGTTGGTTGGGTAATTTCAAGAAGGAGTCAAAGGTTATAAAAATGTACCCAAAGTACAGGTATTGTCTCGTACCTAAGTAAGCACATAATTTAGGTGTCAGCTTTAAATAGTTAACTCTGTGCTTACTGTGGAGCGCACCAATGAAACAACTCATTTTGTTCTTTTGGCTTCTGAATACATCTTTGTGACAAAGCATCTACTGTATAAGATAAATAGCTTATTTTGTGAGTATGGTTACCCTGTGTGGCATAAAGTGATGCCAGTGCCACAGAACTGAAGATTCATGACTTTATAAAATAGAGCATCTAATTTTAAGTTTTAATAGAGTAACTGATTTTAGTGAGTTGTTAGAAAATCCTCTAGGTCATTAGTTATGCGCAAAATTGCTTTGTCATGTACTAGCTTACTGTTTCTGAAGGTAAGCTACTTCTGAAGCACAACTATTGATTAAAAATTAAACCTTCGAAAGAATTGACAGCATTGACAACAGTGTGTGTGTGTGTGTGTGTGTGTGTGTTTTCGGTGGGGGGGTTGTATACTATATTAAGATTAGTTTCCAACAAGAATTGATGCAAGTAGAAGAAATTGACTTCCTTACCTATTGCCTCTGACATTTACTTGCTTAAATTTTTTTTAATTGAAAATTGAATGACAGAAAAAGGTGGATTTAAAGAACAACACTAACTTCTACCTTAATCGATGACAGAGCTGTAGAAGAAAGTACCTGTGGAAATGTGAAAGTATCTGTGAAAAATGTAATCTTTCGCAGCCTGAGCATAATCAACTAGAAAAATTATCTGAATTTAAATAATTGGTCCATAGGTACTATTTTATTTGGTCCATAAGGGTTTTTTTTCAACTTGTGTATTATGTCATTTCCTACATAAGCTAATGATACCTGAAGACTTTTTCCATCTTTACCTTATTCATTAAGGAGCTTTGTAGCCTAATAAAAGAGAAATCTAAGTAAATGTTAGACATATGGGGGGTTAATGGTAACTATGTACTTAAAGAGGTGTAAAAGACAGATAAGGGAGCAGGTAGGACAAAGGAGGCTATAAGGACAAATATTTGAAGTAGGGGAGAGAAGAAGATGTGTTATCCATATAATATTTTACATGCAGTAGAGAGCATGTTCTATAGAAGAGACAGAAGATGAAACTAGATTGATGGGCACCGAGATCATAAAGCACCGTATGTACTTAGGAGTTTGAATTATATCTTTAAAACTATGGTAGATTTCAAGCAGGGGAGTAACATTTTTAAAAGACCATTTTATCATTAAGATGGAGAGATAACCATCAGTAAGCTATTGCCATAATCTAAGTAGAAATATCAGTGGGCATTTGAATATATGCCCTGGAATGAGTAACTGCACAAGAGATATATTTTGCAACTCATATTTTTCTGGGGCAGCAGTTAGAAGTAGAAAATCAACCTATAAGAATACCAACATTTTTAGCTGTGCTAGTGGCACATGCTTGTGACCCCATCTTCTTTGGAGACTGAGGCATAAGAATCGCTTGAACCTGGAGCTGGAGGTTGCAGAGAGCAGAGATCACACCACTGCACTCCAGCCTGGGTGACAGCAACACTTTAAAAAAATAAAAATAAAGAATACCCATCCTGGTCAACATGGTGAAACCCTGTCTCTACTAAAAACACAAAATTTAGCTGGGCGTGGTGGTGCATGCCTGTAGTCCCAGCCACTCAGGAGGCTGAGGCGGGAGAATTGCTTGAACCCGGGAGGCAGAGGTTGCTATGAGCCAAGATCATGCCACTGCACTCAAGCCTGGCGACAGAGCGAGACTCTGTCTCAAAAAAAAAAAAAAAAAAAAAAAAAAAAAAAAAAACAAAGTTTTGTGGTTGCCACAGAAGAGCTGAGGCACTATGAGGAAGCAGCTTGCACTGATGAGACCAAAACAGGGATAGAAGGTTTCCTAAGCAGATATCTAATGTAATTTCTGTATTTGTAAGATTCCAGTCAGTTTGCTGCCTTATTCTTGGGGGTTTTGTTTCTCTTTCGTGTAGTAACCTGCTGGTTGGTAATAGAAGTTAAATGTCATAGGGTCTCAATTTTGTATATGGCTTAGTTTTGTTATCTCTGAACCTTGTAGTTCTTCCTCTTTGGTATGGCAGCATTTTGGTATTAAATTGCAACATTGAAATATTCTGCCTTCTTTTTAAAGTTCTTTTTTTGAACAAACAAAACGAAATGTGGCTTTGCCTAAATCAAATCAGCAGATTACCTTTATTCAGAAACAGACAGCATTTGATTTCATGAAAATTGGAATGAAAGCTTACAAAGAACTTCTGGAATTGGGTTATTAAAACTTCAGTGTTGGGGGCGGGGCGTGATGGCTCACGACTGTAATTTCATCACTTTGGGAGGCCAAGGTGGGCGGATCACTGAGCAGTTTGAGACCCACCTGGGCAACATGGAGAAACCCCGTCTCTACTAAAAAGACAAAAAAAATTAGCTGACTGTGGTGGCTCACTCCTGTAGTTCCAACTACTCGGGAGGCTGAGGTGGGAGAATCACCTGATCCCAGGAGGCACAGGTTGCAGTGAGCCAAGATTGTGCCACTGCCTTCCAGCCTGGGTGACAGAGCAAGACCCTGTTTTAAAAAGAAAATGTTTGGGATTACCCTTAAATTGTTAATTTTACGTAGAAAAAACATACCTTATATAGTATCTGATCAGGTAAAAGTTATTATAACCATATTTAACAAAGATGTGTTAATCTAATAAACTCGGGTCACTTAAAATGTTTCTAGTTCCATATTTTGCAAAAAATATGAAAAGGGGCCAGGTACAGTGGCTCATGCCTATAATCCCAGAACTTTGCTGGAGGCTGAGGCGGGCAGATCACCTGGGATGAGGAGTTTTAAGTTCAGCCCACATGGTGAAACCCATCTCTACTGAAAAAAAGGAGCCAGGCACGTTGATACATGCCTGTAATCCAAGCTATCCAGGAGGCTGAGGCAGGAGAATCAGTTGAACCTGGGAGGCAGAGCCTGCAGTGAGCTGAGGTTGCGCCACTGCACGCCAGCTTGGGCAGCACAGCAAGATGGGATTCTGTCCTTGTCTCCCCACCTGGAAAAAAAAAAAAAACAAAAAGGAAAGACTTGAGAGCTGGAGAAGAACTCAAGTTAAATAGTAGCTCTGGTGGAGTGTGGTGGATCGTGACATCAGGAGTTAGAGACCTGCCTAGCCAACATGGTGAAACCCCGTCTCTACTAAAAATAGAGAAATTAGCTGGGCATGCTGGCACGCACCTGTAGTCCAGCTGCTTGGGAGGTTGAGGCAGGAGAGTTGCTTGAACTCAGCAGGCAGAGGCAGTGAACTGAGATCGCGCCACTGCTCTTTAGCCTGGGGAACAGCGAGACTCTGTCTCAAAAATAAATAGTAGCTCTTCCATTTACTAGTTGTGTATTTCTTTAAACCTGATTCTTCATTAATAAATTGACCTTTCTTCTTTGAACTCCATGTGTCCCTTGTTCATATTTCATGATACCTGTAACATTTCATTGCAGTTACTCAACATGTCTATCAGAGTGCAAGCTCATCAAGATAAAAAATTGTTCTTTGGATCCCTTACATATATAGCAAGGAGTTAGATTAATTGAATTAATGTTTGTTTTACAGAAGGGTAGGAATTAGATGAGCTGTGTTAGTATCGGACCTAGTTTTTATGTGCCTGACATCCAGAATGGGCATAGTGAAAGGCTCATGTAGCTGTATATACATACCCTTTCTAATGGAGAGGAATGAGTGTTAGTAATAACCCAATTCATGTAAATTTTAAAACATACCTTCGGATTGGTTCTTTGCATATCCTGAGGCAGTTAGGCATTCCACATTTCAACTTTAAATTCCTGACTAGGCATCAGTATCTTTTGTCATTAAGTGGTCTTCAAAAGACTGTTGTTTGAATCTTGGTTCTGTCATTTACCATTTGTATACTAGACTAAGTTAGTTCTTAAAGCCTCATTTATATCATGCATAAAATAGGGACAATGTATCTATTTTCTGGTATTGATTAAAATGAGAAACTTAAGCTTTTCCCTGTTCTCTTGAACATAGTTGTGTGTTCGTTACCTGGAATGGCTAACATTTTGGTTGGCCAGTGGGCAGAATGGCCTGTTGTAAACCCATTTGTACACATCTGGCTGTTGGAAGAAATAATCTACACATGTAAACGTTTATTTTCAGATTATTCTGATATACAATTCTGTATGTAGGCTTTATTGCTATGTGTACTTTTTCCTTTGTGAGAATTGAGATCTAGAATACTTGTGTTTCTGGATAACTTTTTTTAAAAGACATTCTGGTGACTTAAGTAAAATTGAATCTAAATTAGGTTTTATTACTGTATAGTAAGTTTTTAGTGTTTTTTTTTTTTTTATTAATATAGACTAAATTTTCATGGGATAATTTAGATTTTTATTACAGTGTAAATAGGTAATTTTGGTTCATTACTAGAGAAACGCTTAGAAACATGTTATGGATTTTTAGCAATTAATATTTTAAATTTGAGTTAAGCGTACTTTTCTTTTACAGAATGACAGCCCATATCAAGGCGGTGTATTCTTTTTGACAATTCATTTTCCTACAGACTACCCCTTCAAACCACCTAAGGCAAGTATTTACTGTCATAATCTGTTAGTATAGATTTATGCTTTATTTCAAAGGAATAGAGTATTCTTGAAAGTTAGGGTTCTGCCTAGGCTAAATGTGTATGTTGAATTGAGGCACTGATGTACAGATGATGACTCTAAACCTTTGGTTTAAAGAGCTAGACCTCAATTTGAACTTTGTAAATGGGAATAAAGTTTGTCTTTTCCTTAATGTTGCAAGATTCAGACTATATAGAAGCTTACCCCCATTATTACATAGATTCTGATTATAGGCTTTGTTGTCTTGTAGGCATCAAATGTTCAGCTTCAGTTTATATTTGCACATATTGCTACAACTTATGCTTATAGTTTTATATATATAACTAAATTTATGAAAACTTAAAGAGTTGCTTAGTGCAGTGAGTTGATTGGTTTGTAGATACTAAAAGCATATTATCCTTTACTTTTCAGTAATTAACATAAATTCAACCTCTATTAGTAACTAGAGAAGGTAATATTCAAAGGACATAAACATTCACTATTAACAGTCTGTAGTATTGTTACAGGTGCAATGTGATGGTTTCCATTTTTGTGATTCAAGTTTGTTTTATGTACAGTGGAAATGCAAACTCATGCATACCTATGTAACTTAATGAAACTTTAAATGAGATGGTCTACAAATTTTGGTTACATTCAAAATTTAGAGCTTTTTTAAATGAATGTGTTAAAAACCTTTAAATTACCCTTTGATATTCATGACACAGTAGGACCAAAGTAACCTTGAGATCTTTCCTTCATATGAGTAATGAAATTTTTATCCAGAAGTTTAAGTTTCTGTTTTAATAAGAGGGAGCCGGGGGGCAGGGGGTTGTGGTCAGATTGTAGAAACCAGTTTATATATTTGGAACTTGTTTGCTAATAGATGACATTTTTAACATTGTGGCTTGATTATTTTAAGTTTTGCTTTAAAAGATATTTGTTTTTATTTGAATAAAATACCTAAAAGTTTCTGTTTTAGGTTGCATTTACAACAAGAATTTATCATCCAAATATTAACAGTAATGGCAGCATTTGTCTCGATATTCTAAGATCACAGTGGTCGCCTGCTTTAACAATTTCTAAAGGTAAAAATACTTCCAGTGAAATAACCTTAAGCTGTTCTCAATTTCTAATAGTTTCATTCTTAGATGTACTTATCTGAGTATTTTTATTCCAACTTTCTGGTAAGAGATGGGGAAGCAATAAAGTTACTTTTATCATTTGTGTTCTTTTAGTGGTATTGATAAAAGAGACTTTGTGAGAAGGGGTTAAAATTCAAATTGGGCTGGGTAGGCATTATTTGCCTGTTGAGTTACCTTCATCTCATAACAGCAAAATTTATCTTAATAGACTTCTGTATTTTTCAATCTCAAACCACTTGGACATGTCACATTCGTTGCCTTTTTACCAAGAATAGTGTAATATACCTAAACTTAATAAAGATTTTGAATCCTGAGGTTTCCACTGTAGGAAAATTCTGATTTTGCTTTCCTGGGTTAATTTTTAGACAAATCTTTAGTCATGTGTTATGTAACCATGATAGGTTGTTTCTACCTAATGACAGTTTAAAAATGTATAATCTTGGAAATATCTGTAGATCAATTCTGGTCTCCTACTGTTAATAGGCATCTGTTATATTGTATCTAACAGGTTGTTCAGTCTCTGCACGAATATCCCAGGTGGAGTTTTTAGACCTTTTTTTCTCCCTCTTGGATACTTTCTAATTTCTTTTCAAAATATGCTCCCATACCTAAATACCAGCTTCCAAGTTTTTCTATCACTGCTGGTAATGTACTGTAACACTGAAAACTATTTTTGTAAGGGCAGATTGAATTGGTACTGTTTTGTCATTAAAGTAACTTGCTTTTTTGGCAGCCGTACTTTGCTGACTTATTAAACTAGGAGCCAACACTGAAGCCACCTTTTTTCTGTGAGTTACTATATAGCCCAGTCTCCTCCATTAGGTAATTTTTTATTTGCTCTGCTGCATTTGGCTTTGAAGTTAAATTTGCTGTAGTCAACAAATATTTATGTGACAATGCTGTCTTTATAGTATAAAGTACTTTATACTTGTCTGGTGACTGGCACATAACAGGCACTCAAAGTGAATGAGATCTATGTTCCTTAATGTTTGACATCTTATAAATCAGTGTGTTGAACTGGTTAAGGGAAGAACTAGGGCTGATGACTCACTTAGTACTAAAGAGATTTTGGCATTGTATTTAACCAGTACTCTTGAGAATACGGTTTCTTACTCACAAGTTCAAGGAGATAAAACATTCAGTGGAGCACTTCAAAGTTTTTCTCAGAAAACTCCTGAGACAATGGCAAAGAATGGATTTTTCTTCATGCCTAACAACTATGAATAATACGGCATGAGTGTTAACCTGCATATTCTTGCTAAAGTCCCCTCCCCCCAGATTACCAAGAAACTCCTTAAGTTCTAATATCATTTATGCCTATTTAAAACATATATTAATATGACATCAGTTGCCTATCTTAGAAATTTTATTTTTATAGCTAGTCAGCAGTGAATTTGATGCCACAAACTCCATTTTTAGCTCTTCTTACTTAACAGTAGCTTGTCTTCTGTGAAGCAAAATCTCTGGTAAAACTTTGTCTCATCGAGATTGAGATAAAAAGTAATATAAGTCTTTTGAGGATTGAGGTTTGTAATAGCGTTTTAAATACATTTATTTCTCTAAACTCCTGAAACTGGATAACAGGTGTTTTTGTTTCCTTGCAGTTCTTTTATCCATTTGTTCACTGCTATGTGATCCAAACCCAGATGACCCCCTAGTGCCAGAGATTGCACGGATCTATAAAACAGACAGAGATAAGTAAGTATGTTAAAAAGTTATTATAAAAGTGATGTTACTTAATGAGTTAGGCTTATACTCTGCTTGTGACAATGCCAAGAAGACTAGATATTTAGTAAGATAATAGTTAAAATATTCAGAAAGCTAGCTATTGAAATGTGGTTATTTAAAACTTACTAGGCTTTAGTTAATGTGACAGTGAATGCCCCCCTCCAAAATGTTTTTTCGTTTTTCCTAGTGTGTTAAAACAGCTTATTACTGTATTCTCAAATTTTGGGGAAGAAAGCAAATTTTTCTTAACCCCAAGCATGTTTTTCCAAAGTGTTAGTGCTATTGTAAAAATTTGGTCTAAATTTTTCAAATATTTGAATTATGTTTATGTTCAGTTTAACCATTATAACTTTCATATGTTATAATTAATGCTAAGTATACTTGTTCAATTAGGTACAATAGGTTAGCAAGAGAGTGGACAGAGAAATACGCTATGTTGTAGGGTAAGAGGATCTGCACTCTATGGTGCGCTTATTCATGGTACTGCCAGCACTTGAGTGCTGCATGCATTAAGGCACTGTATTAACTAACAAAAGGTAACAGATGTGGCAGTCTTCTGAAAAGTGTACGTTTAACTGCTTGATCTCTGTTTAACGTGAAAGTAAATACCTGATAGTCATCATTGCTTGAAAGTATTGCATGGCAAAGCAGTTATATAGCACTAGTAAGAAATGGGAATTTAGTATCTTTTTCTTTCAAACTACCATGGTGTTTAAGTTTTAGCTTGAGACTTTGTACCAATACTATACGGAATGTGGTGATTTAGTTCAGATTTTGCCAGAAGATAGTAATGTAAGGGAAAAACACTTTTAAGCCTAAGCATCTAAACTAAATGTTCATTACTGACAAGCATGCATTAGTGTTAGCTGTACTTTGCGGCTCCCTGTATGCTAGCTAGATTAAAGCCTTTGTTTTAAAGTGCTGGCTTCGTGAGAGAGTATCCTTAGGAGATAACCATGTTTGGTAGAAAGATCTTGTATATGTTACAAGTTTAGGGAAGTTGTTGGACCATATTTGGTTTTTGGTTTGAAATAAAGCTAGTTAATTAATATTTGAACTGTAAATATAAAAGTTCTCCTGTGTCCTTTAATATGTATTCATTTCTTAAGGTTATCACTATTTTTGTTGGGGTAAGCAGTCTATGGCATTAGTATAATCCAAGGGGAAACTGATAGTATTTATCAATGTTAGTAGTCTTCCTGAGTAATAACCTTGTTTGTGTGTGAATTATCTGTTGATCTTTTTCAAGAAAGATGCTCTGGTTGTACTCAACAGGTCTTGATGGGGCTGATGAACACAACCACTCACACACCTCTTTTGAAAATTATCATTCTGCCCAATGTCATCTTCCCCTTCTGTCTCTGCCTAAGTCTCAAAGGCATTTTTTTTCTTGCAATATCCAGGACCAAGTAATTTCCCAAACTCCAGGATTCAGATAAAGTTGTTTTAGTAAAAGTCTGGTTCTGGCTTTGGAAATGTCTGTGGATAGATAGAATTTGTACACTATTTTAACATATGTCCATAATGAGCTGTAAACATTTTTTCATGTTAAAAATTAAGAGTAGTCGTTCAGTGGTGGTAGAAAGAAAGGGTCTTTTGACTTTTGTTAGCCTCCCAACTTGTAGTGCTGCTTTCTTAGGTTTATTAAAAAACTGCTTTCAGAGCATCAGGCTCTCATTTCCCACATTGATTTGAGTGCCAATGCTATTTCTTCCTTCGTTGGCTTTTATTCTAATCATAGTCATTAGAGATGACTTCATAATAGGTCTGGAGATGAAAATCTTTCCCTTCCATTTAAAGTATTAGGAATTCTTTCACTTTATTTTAACTTTTAAAAAATAACATCTTTATTTACAGGTACAACAGAATATCTCGGGAATGGACTCAGAAGTATGCCATGTGATGCTACCTTAAAGTCAGAATAACCTGCATTATAGCTGGAATAAACTTTAAATTACTGTTCCTTTTTTGATTTTCTTATCCGGCTGCTCCCCTATCAGACCTCATCTTTTTTTAATTTTATTTTTTGTTTACCTCCCTCCATTCATTCACATGCTCATCTGAGAAGACTTAAGTTCTTCCAGCTTTGGACAATAACTGCTTTTAGAAACTGTAAAGTAGTTACAAGAGAACAGTTGCCCAAGACTCAGAATTTTTAAAAAAAAATGGAGCATGTGTATTATGTGGCCAATATCTTCACTCTAACTTGGTTATGAGACTAAAACCATTCCTCACTGCTCTAACATGCTGAAGAAATCATCCTGAGGGGGAGGGAGATGGATGCTCAGTTGTCACATCAAAGGGAACAGCATTATTCTAGCAGCATCCATTCTTGTTTAAGCCTTCCACTGTTAGAGGTTTGAGGTTACATGATATACTTTATGCTCATAACTGATGTGGCTGGAGAATTGGTATTGAATTTATAGCATCAGCAGAACAGAAAATGTGATGTATTTTATGCATGTCAATAAAGGAATGACCTGTTCTTGTTCTACAGAGAATGGAAATTGGAAGTCAGACACCCTTTGTATTCCAAAATAGGGTCTCAAACATTTTGTAATTTTCATTTAAATTGTTAGGAGGCTTGGAGCTATTAGTTAATCTATCTTCCAGTACACTGTTTAATATAGCACTGAATAAATGATGCAAGTTGTCAATGGATGAGTGATCAACTAATAGCTCTGCTAGTAATTGATTTATTTTTCTTCAATAAAGTTGCATAAACCAATGAGTTAGCTGCCTGGATTAATCAGTATGGGAAACAATCTTTTGTAAATGCAAAGCTGTTTTTTGTATATACTGTTGGGATTTGCTTCATTGTTTGACATCAAATGATGATGTAAAGTTCAAAAGAGTGAATATTTTGCCATGTTCAGTTAAAGTGCACAGTCTGTTACAGGTTGACACATTGCTTGACCTGATTTATGCAGAATTAATAAGCTATTTGGATAGTGTAGCTTTAATGTGCTGCACATGATACTGGCAGCCCTAGAGTTCATAGATGGACTTTTGGGACCCAGCAGTTTTGAAATGTGTTTATGGAGTTTAAAAAATTTATTTTCCAGGTGCAGCCCCTGTCTAACTGAAATTTCTCTTCACCTTGTACACTTGACAGCTGAAAAAAACCATAATATGGGAGTAATGATGGGTCAAAATTTACAAAATAAAGTACTGTTTTGGTGTGGGAGTTGTCATGAGGCTGTGTTGAAGTGACTTATCTATGTGGGATATTGAGTATCCATTGAAATGGATTTGTTCAGCCATTTACATTAATGAGCATTTAAATGCAACAGATATCATTTCAGGTGACTTAACATGAATGAATAAAAGTCAATGCTATTGGATTGTTTTTTGTTTGACAAGTGCTATCTGTGCTACTAATTTAACTTCTGTAGTAACAAGGGCATTACCATTCTTCACCTTTCCTAATTCTGACCCCATAGTTTTACATTTTTCCTGGTTATTTTGATTTGTCCACTGCTTTATTTCTTGAAGTTCTAGCACATCTGTGACTCCTCCATTTCCACGTTTTTGCACTGCTTACACTTAATGTGCAATCTTACTCCTTGTCTGCACACAGATGTGGAAAGCTAGAAATAAATGTTAAAACTTAATTTTTATAAACATTTTAATATGTAGTTTGGACATGATTTATTGACTTAAGGTTCTTCTCTAAACTGGAAGTGAAATGCATGCCTTCTGAAGATGTTCTGGCTTTGTTAATTCTGTAATCATTTCATTGGGAAAAAAACAGTTACGCAGTTTTTCCAATGAGTGAATTTTTTCATTTGTCTTTTGCTTAAAATGGCTCCTTCAAGGTAGATGTCATACTGCTTAACTTTTTTGGATTCAAATTATGAATGAGAAATTAGTTAATTCTGCTCCACAAGGTAAGAAAAACTGCTCTTTGGCTCTATTTTCAAAATTACTTCTGAGATGCATATGCTCTCAAAATAACAGCTTTAGTAGGCATATCACTTCTTGAAAGCCAAACATGAATAAAACACTTTTATGAAACACAGTGGATCCCTCATTGGCTTTCAGATTGACCTTTTTAGCCTTAGACCACCCTTAGGTATTTACAGAGATGACTTCTTTGATTGTCATAACAATTCGTAGATGTGTCCAGTTCTCTGTATCTTTGACTTGATGCTTTATACATCATTTCATTTGTTGCTTCTAAGGGAATAAGCCATAGAGGCTTCTCCAGGTTTAAAAGAACAGTAAAGTACCTGGAAAACCAACATTTTTGAATGTATGGACACTGGACATGAGATCATGTACAATGAAATCTTCAAAAGAATCTAAGAATTTGCCCTGTTTCCCCCACCCCATCCAGCAATTTGACATTACTAGTGCCATGTGTAGGACTCAACTGAGTATTAGAATCAGTTTTGGCTATGTCTATATTTCCTAAATCTTTTAATGCATAAACCTCTAAGAATTAGGGTCCAGTTGGCCTGTTAATGGTAAATTTACATTTTAAGTGACTCAATAATTTGATTTTCCTGGGCGAGTTTGCAATGTGATAATCAGATTTTTTAAAACTGATTAGTTTGCTTTCTTGTGTGGGTGTACTCACATTTTAAAGTATGAACCACAGTTAACTAGTGGTCTCAGGGGTAGTGAAACACTCACTCACTTTTTTTTTTTCTTTTCTTTTTTTTAATGGCTTAGTTGAAGTATACTTAAGGTACTGATCATGCTGTGTTAGTGATTTGGGCGGGGGGGGGTAACTCAAATTAGCCATGTTTTGTGTTGGCATAACAAAACTGTTAATGATTGTTGATTACACTTTCAAGTGAATTTGTCTTTTATGAGGAACCCAGTGCAAGTCACTAAATATTGTCTAATAGTGACATCTGCATAAGACTTGTAATAGCTAAAGTTAATTGAGCTTAAAGGAATTGTTACCATTAAAGTCTGTGTTTAAAGACACTTTGGTCTTACTCAGTAATTCCAGCTAATATGAAATCCATACTTGAGCTTAATGTTGTGTGTGAGCTCGATTTTGAATTTTATACAGTTTATGAAGAGTTAAGGTGGTGGTTCTCGAAATGTAACTCTTGAGATAACAATCTCAGCATCATTTGGGAAATTCATTGTAATATAAATTGTCAGGCCCCACCCAGGTCCTGAATCAAACTGTGGCTTGGAGCCCAGTCTCCTCCAGGTGATTCTGATGAATGGTGAAGATTGAGGACCATTTTCAGAAGTCTGTTCCTAGCACTCCCTTGTAACAGACTACACCAGTAATCCTTTGACCCTGTAGCTATTTTTATAGCTGTTTCAGGCAATAGAGAATTGCTTTTGTCTAAATATTACATTTCTGATGCCTGACAGTTTCCAAATACTTTGAATTGTAATACAGTATGTTGATTTCCACATTTACACTTGGAATATTAAAACACATTAATGTCCTACAGTTGACTAATTTGAATAATCATACTGGCATAGAATTCAACCAGTCATCAAGTAATTAAAAGCAATCAACCTAGGTATGGAACAAATTTGAACCCAGATCCCATTGTGTGGCCTGACAATAGGCAATTTTTTACCCCAAGTGGAAATGATGCCATGTTAAGGATGTTTGCAGTGTTTGACAGATATTAAATGTACCCTAAGGCGGCTATTAAAACTTCTTGTGCTGTCCCAGTGTAATGGAAAAATAAACGGTTAAAGGTATTTGGAAATGGCTCTAAACTATTACAGTGCCTCACCTCCACCCCCCAAAAAAATGGAGGAACCATCTTAAAGTCTTCTAGAAATATATTGAAGTTAGCTAAATGTCTAAGTCCCTAGAAATTATTACTACATTGTGTTGTTTCTTCCTACCTTCTAACTACTTGCTCATTTCTGGCCTTGGTTCTGAAAAATTTTATGTTTCAGGTATATAAGATGTTTCTGACAATTCTTCTTTTACTTGGGATGCTTCTGTTAAAGTCTCACTATCAGTTTTCTGTCTCTTCCCAAACTGCTTATGAATGAAATTTTAAGAACCCTCTTTTCTGTATTATAAAAAAAAGTTTACAAAATTTTCCTTTTTATGTACTGCTGACTAATCACATTTGAATAGTGTCAAGGCTGAACAATGACCCTTTATGCCATACTGGCTTAAGAGCCCAGTTAACCACCATCATTTACTAACCACCTAGCTATTTCTTCAGAGCTCCCATATAGCTGTTATTCATTATCCACATAACAATCTAAAGGGCATATTTTAAAATGTCTAAAACTGGCCTTATGTCTACACAGACACATAGATAACACATACACTCTTAGCCCAGCCTCAGTAAATGTCAACATTGAGTTGCACTGGCTTAAAACCTGGGCACCAACTTTGATTTCTCACATTCCACCTTCAATCAGAATTAACAGCAGCCTTTAAAATCTGCCCATTTGCCATATTCACTGCTACCACCATTATCTAAAGCTGTATCATTTCTTACTTGGACTATTGCAGTGTCCTTCCTGAGTGATCGCCCACGTTACACCAATCTGTCTGCCCCACATGCTCAACCCCTTTAAACCATATCAGACCATGTCATTGCTTTCCTCCAAACCGAATGGTTTCCCATCTCATTCGGAGTAAAAAGACAAAGTATTAATCTACAAGGCTGTAGATAACTTTCTTCACCACCTTTACCTCGGCTTCATCCCTGATTGCTTGCTTGCCTCACCACCATTCCAGCTCCCTCAGCTTAGTGACACAGGATTGCTGAGAGTTGCATACAGTGGACTCTTCCCTTGTTACTCTATTTAAATACCTTTTCAGAATAGTTTTTCTTGACTATTCCATATAATATGCCAACGTGGCACCACCGCTGTGGAGTACATCATGGCATATTCAGTATTATTTGTCTTACAGGCAGTGATTGTTTAAGCCCCCCCCCCCCAGTTCTATGACAACAGATTTTCTCTTATTTATCAATGACTAGATGCCTACTCAGCACATTTTATGACAGATAATACAAAAATGACTGAGTCAAGGGGTAGTCTGTCAAATGTGCTTTTGCTTGCTTCATCTCTAACTCCCAAAGAACAAAAATAATTAATACACTATTAAAAAGTTGTTAATCAGACCTTATTTACTCTCTAACTACTGTAACTAAAGTAATGCAGTTCAAATTCTGTCAGTCTGGATGATTACCTTGATCAATCCTGTGAAAAAGCATCTGCTTGCTGGGGGAAGAACTTTTTTTTTTCCAGTGTGTCAATGTTCTATCAAAGGAAAGAATGCTCTCAGACTGAAACCAGGAACCCAAAGAGGAAAACAGAACAAACCGAGAACCAGCCTGCATTTTGAAAACACTTGAAGTACCCCAAGTGAACTTGATTGACCTTTCATTTCTTTTTTCTTTTTTTGTTAGAGATGTGGTCTTGCTCTGTCACCCAGGCTGGAGTGCAGTGGTACAGCCCTCAACCTCCTGGACTCAAGCGATCCTCCCACCTCAGCCTCCTGAGTAGTTGGGCCTACTCATCACATTACCCAGGCTGGTCTTGAACTTCTGGGCTCAAGCAGTCCATTTGTCACGGCCTCCCAAAGTGCTTGGCTTACAGGCACAAACCTCTATGCCCAGCTGATCTTTAATTTCCATGGCTCTGGCAAAGCCCAGGATGCATCCACAAGTGGTGTCAAATAGGAGAAACCCATTCCTAGTACAATTAGGACTCTGCCTATCTTGAAACTGGTGCTCTCTGGCAGGAGAATATCCTGATTATTTGTAATAATAGTTTGGGCTTTGTGAAGATTTGCTGCCTTATGTGGTCCCAGAAAATGCAAACAGGATTTAATTTTCAAAGTGATTCCAAATGAGTAGAACAGTCAGCTACTAGCAAAAGCAAACGCTAGGAATTCCGTAATAGCTCACATTTAAATATCAGCAAGAGAAAATACAAGGGAACATAGATCTTCGTGAGTTGCCAAGCAATTTGCAAGAAAAAAGTTTATTTTTAAAATATTGATATTAAAAGTCAAATTGGAAAGGAATCAGTAAAACTATATTAATAAGTGACATTGTCTTGTATATGGAAAATCCTGAAGAATTAATAGAAACCACTTAGAGCTAATAAAAGAATTCGGCAAACTTGTACGATACAAGATTGACACAGAAATCAGCTGTATTTCTTTAAATGATTACCGATTGTAAGTAATCTGTAAATAAGGTTAAGAAAATTGCTTGTACAATAGCATCAAAAAAAAAAAAAAGGGCCGAGTGCAGAGGCTCACACCTATAATCCCAGCACTTTGGGAAGCTGAGGCTGGCAGATGACTTGAGGTCAGCAGTTTGAGACCAGCCTGGCCAACTTAGTGAAACCACGTTACCACTTTAAAAAAAACAAATGGTTGTGGTAATGCATGTCTATAGTCCCAGTTACTTAGGAGGCTGAGCCAGGAGGATCGCTTAAACCTGGGAGGTGGAGGTTGCAGTAAGCCAAGATCATGTCACAGCACTCCAGCCTGGGTGACAGAGTGGGACTTTTTATTTAAAAAAAAAAAAAAATGTAATTAAGGAAGTGCAAAATATGTACACTGAAAACTATCAAACTTTTTGAAAGAGAAGTCCTGAATAAATGAAAAGATATCCTGTGTTCATGGATTAGAAGATTTAATATGCTGAAACGACAGTAATTCTCAAAGCAATCTATACATTCAGTGCAATCCCTTTCAAAATTCCAATGACTGTCTTGCAGAAATGACAAAATTTAAAAATTCATGTGGAATTGCAAAGGACATCAAAGAGCTAAACAATCTTTAAAAACAATGAAGGGACTCATACTTCCCTATTTTGAAACAATACAAAGCTACACTAATCAAAATAGCATACACAGGAGCACATAGACTCATGGAATAGAATTGAGAGTCCAGAAATAAGCCCATACACTTATGGTCAATTTATGTTTGACAAAGATGCCAAGACCATCCAGTGGGGAAAGAATACCCTCTTTAACAATATGGCGCAGGAACAACCAGATGTCTACATGCAAAAGAATGAATTTGGACCATTACCTCACATTCTATATGAAAATTAAAAAGGATCAAAGTTACAAATGAAGAGCTAAAACCATAAAACTTAGAAGAAAACGAGAGTGTATCTTCATGTTCTTAGATTTGGCAATATTTAGATATGACACCAAAAGCACAAACCAAAGAAAAAAAAATTGGACTTTAAGATTATAAACTTTTGTGTATTGAAAGACATTATAAAAGTGAAAGGACAACCTACAGAATGGAAAATTATTTTCAAATCATCTGATTAGGGTCTAGTATTCAGAATATATTAAAAAAAACTCAACAGGAAGACAATCCTATTTAAAAGCAGACGAAAGATTTAAACATTTTCCCAAAGAAGGTATACAAATGGCCAGTAAGTATGTGAAAAAATGTTCAACATATTATTACATAAATGCAAATTCAAACGATGATGATATGTCACTTTTTACTCTGTAGGATAGCTATAAATTTTTAAAATAGAAAAGTGTTGGTGAAGATTTTGAGAACCTGGAACCCTGTATGTTGCTGGTGGGAATGTAAGATGGTGCAGTTTCTGTGGAAAGCAGTTTGGCAGTTCCCCCAAAAAGTTGAACATAGAATTACTATATGATTCAGCAATGTCATTCCTAGGTATATACCCAAAACAACTGAAAACAAGTATTCAAACATGTTTGTAAATGAATGTTTATAACAGCACTCACTATTCACAATAGCCAAAAGATGGAAACAATGAATGAATGAACAAATAGGTTATTCCATACAATGATATATTATTCAGACACGTGAAAGATGGTAGTATTGATACATGATACAATGTGGATGGACCTTAAAAACATTATGCTAAAAGAAGCAAAACATAAAAGGTCACATATTGTATAATTTCATTTATTTGAATATCCAGAATAGTTAAATCTATAGCGACAGAAAGCATTCAGCTACTAGG